GTAAGTCTATTTAACTTGCTGTGTTGCTTTTTATCACTCTCAGTCTTAACACTTCTATTCATACAGAATAATTGAAAGAGAAAGATAATTTCTAAGCGAAATGAATAATTCAGGATTGTCTCCTGATACCATCAGAATTTTAGTGTGTAAAGGAGAAATGGCATGACTGAAAAATGCTATCCATATGGTGAACACGTGGAACACAATTGCAAGATGATCTCTGTAGGTGGCTATGGTTACGTCACGGGAATCCAGTGATGTTACAAATCACCAGTGGCTTGGAGAACACAAACAGGACTGCAGATAAGAATCCTGCAGAATAAAAACTTCTTATGTCTTTCAACAGATTCTGGTGACACTGTAAGCCACTAATGACCACCAACTGAACAAATGAAAAAGTGATAAGAAGCTTGTAAAACAAGACTGGCATGCAATCTGGAGGTTCCCACAACACAGTAAAACCCCAGTGGTTTCTGCTGGCGCTTACAATAAAGTGATAAGAAATGATGGAGTACAGGGCTTTGGATCCATCGAGGGAATCCTGGCGACAAAAAGCAAACAAAAGCAAAACAGCTAGAAAATTCTTGAAGGTCAGCCGAGCCCTGAAATAAAACAATAATACTGCTTTCATAAAAGTCATTTCTTTTAAGGCCTGCAGTCTCTGTCCAGTTTAAAAACAGGTAGTGAATTGAACAATAAACATATGAGGTGGCAAATGGTAGAGAAAGGTTAATTAAACTACACGGCATCCATTTTAAAATTTGAGGTTATGTGGGAACAAATGTATCTGCTTTCTTTGAAGATGAAAAGAGTCCCCACCTCCCCTTTTAGTTAGGGATCTTAAAAAGCAACGTGGGACATGGCCTATGGCCTAAGTCCTCCCTTTTAAAAATGGAAAGTTTTAAACTAGCTCTAACTTCTATCAGTCCTAGTTACTGCCTACTCTAGATTATTCACTGTATCTCTCTCCGCTCCTTCCTTTGAACCCATCTGTTTCTGAAGCTGTAGTTCCTGTCTTAATCCAGATTTCTCACTGCTTACACCTTGCTCTGTGGAATTTCAGTGAGTTCAGACATCCAAAAGACTCTGGAAACTTCCAGGTAGGGGAGAGACAAGGTTAGATAATTTCAGACTGACTGGCTGTAGCAACACTGTGGAGGGCGGGTTGAAACAAGTCAAGACTGGAAGTAGGAGGACCAGTTAGGAGACTATCACAATTAATCAAGGGAGGAATGTTGCTAGGTCCAGGGCAGGGGCCACAGAAATGCAGAGAAAAAGATGGATTTGACAAATGCCTATGAGCCAAAATTGGTGGGACTTGAAAAATAATTGTACACGGTGGTGATGGAAAAGGAAAGAGTCTAGATTGAGTCCTAGGTTTGGGTACCCGGGTAAATCATCATGTGATTACCCCACAATGAAATAGGGAGAAGGAACGTTTCGGAGGAAGGAGGTCAGTGGGGAGGGAGCTCAGGGAAGATCATGAGATTAGTTTGGGTGGTAGTGACTTTGAAAGTTTTGAGGGAGATTTGCATGGAAACATTTGGCAGGTAGTTAGATAAATGACTCTAAAATTCTAAGATAGGTTAGTGTTGAGGACTCCAAGGCAGGCATCTTCAGTATGGAAGAAGAGGTTAAAGCCATGAAAGTGACTGAGACTGCTTAGAGAAACCATGTGGAATGAGAAGTTTAAAAACAGAAACCCAGCTTCTAAGAAGGGAGTGAGCAAAAGGAAAAGAAGGAATCTGTGATGAAAGGAAGAAGGAATGGTCAGATGGTCAGTGGAGAACCAGGAAAACCTTGGGTAGGGACCACAAACTGGGAACCCTTGGGTCAAACTGTGCCCAACAGTTATAATCCAAATATTCAGCTTATCTTGAAAAGTTGGAAGATAAGGGCATCCTGAATCTATGTGTCTACGTGGTAATAATTGGCTGGAGGTGAGTGGTTCTGTCCTTTCTAGACCAGGTATCTGTGTTCCAGGCTGCCAAAGGCACTATCTCTCCCTGTTGTTCACCTAATACTCAGGCAGAGATGTCACTACTACTGCATTAAAAATATCTCTAATTTAAAATATAATCTCCAATATCATGTATATTTGTACTGTATGACTATATTTATGACTTAGTTAAGTAAATATAGAGAAAATTTGATTTTATATTTCCAGGTGTTTTTAGTTTTTATTTTTTTTCTTGAACTCAACCAACTTTATTCATTAAAGTCACCTGGCTGGCCTCCATAGATTTTTCTGGTTTCCAAACCTGAAATGGTATATTAGGAGCTAAACAAGTAAAGACTTTAGAGAAATAAGTTGCATCAAATGATATACAGCAGGCCAGTGAGTTGAGTTGTACTACACACTTGATAGGGTGCTTCATCTCATCTGGCCATCTGGACTAGAATCTCACCAGTTAGAAGCCATTGGAGCTAGAGGAATAAGGGTTCCTTGTTTGATACGCATCTACTAAGTGTCATACACTGTACTAGGTCTGTTATATACATATCATTTCATTTCACATGACACCCCTGGAACGTAAATATTATTTTCCTCACTTTGTAAAAGAGGAAATTAAAGTTTGGAGCAGTTAAGTAACCTGCCTAAACATGCATAGCTAATAAGGGGCAGAGCCGGTCTTTGAACTCAAGTTTGATTTCAGAGCCCGCTGGTCTTTCATGACACCATGCTGCCTTCCCAGCGATGGATAAAGTACTTTGGAAAGATGCAATAAGGTGGAAAAGTTTTATTAAAAAAAAAAAATCTTCAACTGCATAAATAGCTACTCCAAATGCCAGTCAAAAATTCAGATACATGAATCCATGATGGCATATCAAAGTATAAGAGAGATGGTTTAACAAATGAATAGAACACTGTGCACAGTATTCTGGACACTAAAACACTCAATGATATTTTGTTGAATGAATCGACACAGTTAGTACTGTCCCCTCTGTTTCTCCAGAACCTTATAAACTTTTAAATCCCTGCAAAGCAGCATGCTACACGGAGCTTATAATGTATCTAAGCACCATTTATTATCAAAGTGAAGGGGGAGAAGAATGGAAAAAAAGAGCTAGAGGAAATGTATTGTTAAAAATGGGGTTGCCCAAAGCCTAGGGAGCAGAGTTGCTGTCCCAGTGGGCCTGGAAGGCGGAGCTGAAACCCAGGGCCCAGGGGTCTCCACCCAGAATCCAGAGAGTGTGGTCAACACTCAGAGTCTGGAGGGCAGGGCCATTGCCCAAATGGTCTCAGAGAACAGAGGATTATTTTCAAGCTTTGACAGCTCATGTAATGTGTTCTGCTGACTTGCTTGGTGACTGTTATCCCTCCTTTCCCTCCAGTTTTTCCCATTTGTAGTGGAAATAATCCTTACACATTGCTAAAGGCTGTAAAAATAGTCTCATCTTCAAACTCCATCTCCTCTGTGAAAATCAGCTATACGATGGTGTTGAGTTTTAAATGTAGTCTTAGACATGACTTAAAAGTCTAGGTCAGAGACCTAAGAAAGCATTTGATCCAGCCCAAGCCTTTAGGTAGGTAAGTTATCATCAACTGTTTTTTATAGGTTCAGCAACTGAGGTCTTGGAGATAGGTACTTTGGTTCTGTTAATAAAACTAAATTTCTTTATTGAGACAGTGTGACACTTTTCATTAAGTTATATGGACTTTCTTCCTATTTAGGGCAAATTAGTGAGGCATCAGCGGCCATGTCAGCAATTTCTTACATGCCAAGAAGGCTATAAGTCAACAACATCTATGTGGCATTAGCCAGGCACTGGTATAAGGTAAAATTCCCAAAACATAGCAGTGAAAATATTTGGAGATGATGTTTGCGTATCCTGAAGAGTAACTCCAGACACAGAGGTAGCTACTATAACATCTATGACATGGAGTCATACATGCGAAGGTGCCCTCAAATAGTATCAAGTTCAATACTGCAACTAGAGGCAGAGGGAAACTGAGGCCCAAAGATATTAAGTTATTTTCCCAAGGACAGATAGAAGCCAGAGAGATCAATCAAGATTCAAATCTAGGATTCCTGACTCCTAGTCTGGTGCTCTTTCTACAATATTTAAGCCACCTCAGTCAGAAGAAAACTTTTTTTTCTTTCTCCATCTTTAAAACTGACAAGATTATCTGCACTAACATTTATAAAAAATAAAACTGTTACTAATGGTGGTGTTAATGTTTTTCATTGTTCTCTGTAAGAGTAATTAATAAACTTGCAGTATGCTAGCTGTATTAGACATTTGTCCTCTCGAGCATTTGAAGTATTCTTTTTGAAGAAATTTTGTTTTAAAACAGAGTTTTACTCTTGGCTTCAAATGACTCGACGATGTAGAATCAAGGCTGGAATAGGCATATTTCAACATACTTGTATTCCCTAAGAAGAAATATAATTAGTCCAGAATATCCCAACTACAGGAAAAGATCAAATACATTAGATTCCCTTCCTTCTTTTTGATGTCATCTACGTACACATATCCAAAGAAAGATTAAAAGAACTCAAATATGTCAGGTTGGCAATTACTTTCTATTGACTTAAACATTGAAAGTAAATAAAAATCCCTGCACATCAGTCATAGTCAAGGTTGATCCCTCACTTGTGAGCAAACTAGGAATCATACATTAACTGAAGTGGTAAGCAGCTGGGAAAAGAAAACCAAGCTCAAATATATTAAACCACAGGGTCAAGATTCGCAGTGCATGCAAAAAGACACCTTTCCAAAAACAGACATTTATCTGGTGCATTGTGTCAGAGGGACAAGAAGTACATGAAATCTAAATGCAACACAGCAGAGCCCCCTGCCTTGTCAACATGAGTAAACGTGCCTTGGAATTGAATACACATGCAGAATACAGCTTGTTGGTACTGGAACCTTGAAGGCGTGTTAGTCAAGGCTGGAAACGAGAGAACCAGTTTCACTGATAATGCTGGTAAAAACAGAGTGTATTGCTTCTTATTAAGGAAGTCCAAGAACACAAAACAAACTCTTCAACTCACCGTTCCTGTTGTACCCAGCGAAAGGTGATTCATCTGTTGTGTCAAGGGGCCCATCATGTTTGCCGGCTGCATTGACATAGGATGGTCCATTGTTGGGGTAATCACAGCACCCTGCAAAGCGCACACAAAGTCCATCTGAAAACATGCTCCACAAGGAGGAAAACATTTTTTAAAACATAAACCTAGTAAACTCTGTTAACATCAAATGTGTTTACTTTTTCCCAAGAGGCTAAATTCGACCGTGTATAATTTTTACTTCTGTCACTGCCATTTTCTGGTCGTCTAAATATATGGCATCAATAACTTCCTTTCCTCTAAGCTGGTTTATCTGTGATGTGTGAAACATGCCTACCACTTACATTTCCAACAATCTATGTAGAAGGAATTCTAAGATATCATATATATCCCTTCTCCTGTTGCTCTAAATACATACAAACTTCTCTGACTGGAAAGTATGAACACTAATATAAATTACTTAATTTTTTAAAAAATATTTTATTGCACTTCAGGTGAAGGCTTACAGAACAAATAGTTTCTCATGAAACAGTAGTAAACATGTTGTTTTATGACATTGGTTAACAACCCCACAACATATTAACCCTCTAACTTCTCAACCTTTTTTTTTTGGTGAAAATACACATAGCCAAAGATACACCATTTCAAAAATTTCTACATATACAGTTCAGTGACATTGACTACGCTCTTCC